TCCCAGCACCATTTATTGAAGAGACTGTCTTTTTTCCACTGTATATTTTTTCCTGTTTTGTCGAAGATTATTTGACCATAGAGTGAAGGTCCATATCTGGGCTCTCTACTCTGTTCCACTGGTCTATGTGTCTGTTTTTATGCCAATACCATGCTGTCTTGGTGATCACAGCTTTGTAGTAAAGCTTGAAATCAGGTAACATGATGCCCCCAGTTTTATTTTTGTTTTTCAACATTTCGGGGTCTCTTCTGGTTCCATACAAATTTCTGGATTATTTGCTCCAGCTCTTTGAAAAATACTGGTGGAATTTTGATTAGAAAGGCATTAAAAGAATAGATTGCTCTAGGCAGTATAGACATTTTAACAATGTTTATTCTTCCCATCCAAGAGCATGGAATGGTCTTCCATCTTTTTGTGTCTTCTTCAATTTCTTTCATGAGTGTTCTGTAGTTCCTCGAGTACAGATCCTTTACCTCTTTGGTTAGGTTTATTCCCAGGTATCATATGGTTCTTGGTGCTATAGTAAATGGAATCGATTCTCTAATTTCCCTTTCTGTATTTTCATTGTTACTGTATAAGAAAGCCACTGATTTCTGTACATTGACTTTGTATCCTGCCATGTTACTGAATTGTTGTATGAGTTCTAGTAGTTTGGAGGTGGAGTCTTTTGGGTTTTCCATATAAAGAATCATGTCATCTGCGAAGAGAGAGTTTGACTTCTTCATTGCCAATTTGGATACCTTTTATTTCTCTTTGTTGTCTGATTGCTGGCAAGCAACAGATCTTACTAGAATTTTTCTGGCTCTCCATTCATATCCTTTTTCTATCCCAGCACATAATCCATTTCATTTAGTTATTTCAACTTTTCATTATCATGCACTTCTTAGTTTCTTAATTTTCCTTTTAGCCTGAAGATTAATGAGTGGTATGTAATGGTGGCAATGTCAAATGGTTCAACCTAACATTTACATTGTAAGTATTTGGGAATTTTGAGGTATCCTCTTATTAAGTTCTAGTTTCATTGTCAAATCGTCAGATACCTGTGTCTTTGTGATACTGGTACTTGGGAATGTACCTGCACTTCCTTTAGCCTCACACAGGGTTCTTTTTCGTGATAATTACATGCTCTTGGTGTTTGGGGTCTTGTTTTCTTTTTTTTTTTTTTTTTTATTAACATATAATGTATTATTAGCCCCAGGGATACAGATCTGTGAATCGCCAGGTTTACACACTTCACAGCACTCACCATAGCACATACCTTCCCCAATGTCCATAACCCAATCTTGTTTTCTTTTTGTTTCTTTCTTTGTTTTTGGTATAGGAAACAGGAATATACATGTGTCTTTGTGTATTTGTACAGATTAAATATACATATACAAGTATATATTAGCTATGTACATTAATATATATAAAAGCTCAATATTAAATAATGTGACAGAATTAAGTCCTAAGACACCAGTAATTACAAAAGAGGAAAATGTATTAAATACCCAATTAAAAGAGAGATACAATCATAGGTTGCTACATTTTAAGAGAATCTGATTCTGGTCATGCATGCGTGTCCTCACTTTTAACTTCTCCAATGTTCATTATCTATTCCATGCCCCACAATAAGTACATTATATGTATAAACTTATTTAATCCTTATAACAACTTTGTCAGCTAGATATTATTATAATCAACTTCCTTTTAGGGGTGAGGAAACTAAAGCTCAAAAAAATTAAGGAACCAACTCAATGTTGTTGCTGTTGGTATAGTTGTTGGAAGCACTGTTTCAAAACAGCTTCTCAAATTTATTTAACTCATGTGGATAACATGGTAGAGTTTTGTCTAAAAAAGAAAAAAAGCCACCGTGTAACACTTGCTAAGCCTTGCAAACAGCTCAGAGTTGATGCAGCAAACTGGGGATAATGATGGCGAGATCTGCATTAACCTTTCAGAGATGGAATTCCAACCAGCACCAGAATGTTCCAATTTTTTTCCTTTTTTTTTAATTTTTAATTTTATTTTTTATAAACATATAATATCTTTTTATCCCCAGGGGTACAGGTCTGTGAATCGCCAGGTTTACACACTTCACGGCACTCACCATACAACTTCCCCTCCCCAAGGTCCATAACCCCCCCCCCACCCCCCCTCCCCCAATTAACCCTCAGTTTGTTTTGTGAGATTAAGAGTCACTTATGGTTTGTCTCCCTCCCAATCCCATCTTGTTTCATTTACTCTTCTCCTACCCCCTTAACCCCCCATGTTGCATCTCCTCTCCCTCATATCAGGGAGATCATATGATAGTTGTCTTTCTCCGATTGACTTATTTCACTAAGCATGATACCCTCTAGTTCCATCCACGTCGTCGCAAATGGCAAGATTTCATTTCTTTTGATGGCTGCATAGTATTCCATTGTGTATATAGAATGTTCCAATTTGAACATTTTTATTGGAGAGCCCCACACAATAACTTTGGTTTAAAAAGAAGACTGAATTGTTGCTTTTTTTCTTTAATTTTCCATTCGTACTTAGAAATATGGTTGGAGGCACTGACAAGCTCTGAAGAGAGACTCAACCCAGGTGTGGCTGAATAGAGACCCTGAGCTCCTTCCACTGAGATTTTAAAATAGTAGCTATTATTATTATTACTATTACTATTGTCATCATTTCCTGAATTTTTACTATGTGCCAGGCCCTGCACTATGCGCTTGAAGCACACAATCTTCCATGAACCTCAAGCAGCTCCGAGAAGCACTGACAGTCATCATGAGCATTGGGTGGCGGAGGGACTGGCCATGGTCTGCAGGGTGAGGGCCCCCTCTCCCCCCGGGAAGTCCTCCAGGGCTGGATTCAGCTTGGATCCGGAGCTCCTGCCCACGAGGCCACCTTCGCTCTCTCTCCACCCAGGGATGGCTGCCACTCTGGGCCTAAACCACAGCTCCGTGTCTGAATTCATCCTCGTGGGCTTCTCCACCTTCCCACCTCTCATCCTGCCTGTCTTCTTCCTGCTGTTCCTGCTCATGTACCTGTTCACACTGCTGGGGAACCTGCTCATCATGGCCACTGTCTGGAGCGAGCGCAGCCTGCACACGCCCATGTACCTCTTCCTGTGTGCACTGTCCATCTCTGAGATCCTCTATACCTCAACCATCACCCCACACCTGCTGGCCAACCTGCTCTCCTCCCACTGCACCATCGCCTTTGCAGCCTGTGCCAGCCAGATGTTCTTCTCCTTCACATTCGGCTTCACCCACTCCTTCCTTCTCATCGTCATGGGCTACGACCGCTACGTGGCCATCTGCCACCCTTTGCGCTACAATGTGCTCATGAGCCCCCACGGCTGCACCTGCCTGGTGGCTTGGTCCTGGGTTGGTGGTTCCATCATGGGGCTGGTGGTGACCACAGCCATTTTCCACCTCACCTTCTGTGGACCCAATGAGATTCACCATTTCTTCTGCCATGTGCCGCCTCTGGTGAAGCTGGCCTGTGGAACTGATGTACCAATAGTGGCCCAGGGCGTGGGCCTGGTGTGCATCACTGCCCTGCTGGGTTGCTTTCTCCTCATCTTCCTCTCTTATGCTTTCATCGTGGCTGCCATCTTGAAGATCCCCTCTGCAGAGGGCCGGCACAAGGCTTTCTCCACCTGTGCATCCCACCTCACTGTGGTGGTCGTGCACTATGGCTTTGCTTCTATCATCTACCTCAAGCCCAAGGCTCCCCAGTCTCTGGAAGGGGACACTCTGATGGGCATCACCTACACAGTCCTCACACCCTTCCTCAGCCCTATCATCTTTAGTCTCAGGAACAAGGAGCTGAAGACTGCCATGAAGAAGACCTTCCTCAGCAGACTCTATCCCCAGAGCTCCTGAAGTTGTTTCTTTTGTGGCAGCAGATGTTTTGGGTAGAGGCACATCAGCCTTCCATCTATAAAATGGGAATGATTATGCTTCACTGATGATGATTCTTTTTTTTTTTTAAGATCTTACTTATTTCAGGAGACAAACCATGAGAGACTGTGGACTCCGAGAAACAAACTGAGGGTTTTGGAAGGGAGTGGGTAGGGGATGGGTGAGCCTGGTGGCAGGTATTAAGGAAGCCACGTATTGCATGGAGCACTGGGTGTGGTGCATAAACAATGAATCTTGGAACACTGAAAAAAATAAAATTAAACTTAAAAAAAAATCTTACTTATTTGAGAGAGAAAACGCATGAGCAGAGGAAGGGGCAGGGGCAGAGGCAGAGGGAGAAGCAGACTCCCCACTGAGCAGGGAGCCCAACATGGGAATCAGTCCTAGGACCCTGAGATCATGACCTGAGCCTAAGGCAGATGCTTAACCAACTGAGCCACCCAGGTGTCCCTGGTGATGATTCTTGAATGTGAATTCTCCCACCTGCCTTCTTGGCAAGTACTCTAAATTCTAGATGTTTGTTTTCTCTCCTTTCCCCCAGTCTCAGTGACCTCATTCCTTCTGGATTCACTGGGGTCACAACCTCCCCAATATTGATTGTGTATATCAACTTCCTCCTGGTTCCTGTGCCTGAGGGTGGCTGGGGGTGGGCGGGTATGGTGTCATGCCCACATTGCTGGGTTGGGAAGCCTATGTGCATGGTCTATCACAAAAGTGTGAATAAGGGGTGCTTGCTCTGCCCAAAATACATAAACTGTGATTGGGCACCTGCTGTGTACCAAGCATTGTGTCCTCTGCTTCAGAGACATCATTGCTCTCATTCTGAATATCATGTTGAAGGAAAGAAATCATTTTTGATGAAGAAAATGATTGTTCATGTTTAGTTCTTCAAATTTTTGGTGGAAAGACATCTCCTCCTATGTGTTGTCTTGTTGGCTGAGCCAAATGACCAGTCTGGGGATGTAAATTACAGAAAGAAAGGGGGTGATCTGAATTTCTCCTTGGTAGAGAAGAGATGAGTGGACAGATGGGGCAAAGATGTGGGAGAGGACTAAGGAAGTGAGGACTGGGCTGAGGGAAAGGACTGGGACAGGAGAAAAAACCAGTTGCTGGTAGTTGACCAGGATATAAAGGAAGTGATGGGCCCAGTGACTGGTGAAGAAGTCTGAGGAAAGAACAGGCATGTAAATGGACATTTTATAAGGTTTTACAGTTGCCATCAAGTGCCTGAGGTAAATTCCCCTTCCCTGACTCCCTTGAAATCCTCAATAAATATCCATTTCTCTTTCATGTGTTGCGGAGTCAGATATATTGGGGGAAGCATTCACAAGCTGGGTCTCATTTCAAAGGAGGTGCTCAGGCAAAGTCGGGCAGCCCCTTGGGGTTGCACTTAGTTTTGAAATGAGGCAATGGGCACAGTGAGGCTCAGGACTTGCTCAGTGTTGAAAAGCCAGCAAGGTGCAGGGATGCAGTATGGGGTCGGCCCAGTGAGTCCTCAGGAGCAATGGGTCTCCAAACTGGGGACATGTCACAGTCACCTGGAGGGCTGGTGAGGTCAAAGGCTGCTGGGCCTCACACCAAAATGTCGGATTCAACAGGTCTGGAAAAGGGCTCTAGAAATTATATTTCTAACAGGCTCCTAGGTGCTGAGACTGCTGGTCTGATGATGACAGTTTGGAAACCCCTGGTCTACAGAACCTCTAGCTCAAAGATAAAGCCAGATATTTGAGTTGGAAACAAAAGGAGCTTCCTTCCTTCCTTCCTTTCTTCTTTTCTTTCTTTCTTTCTTCTTTCCTTTCCTTCCTTCCTTCCAACCTATCTTCCTTTTTTCCTTACTAATAGTTATGCTGATAACAGCTTCCATTTTTTTTCCCATTTTGGGGGCCATTTATCATCAGCTAGGTGTGGTCTTTTAAAAAAGAGCCGTATGAGGCAATACAATGGCACTAAATTCATATCTCTCAATACTTACCCTGAATGTTAATGGGCTAAATGCCCCAATCAAAAGACACAGGGTATCAGAATGGATAAAAAAACAAAACCCATCTATATGTTGCCTACAAGAAACTCATCTTAAACCTGAAGACACCTCCAGATTTAAAGTGAGGGGGTGGAAAAGAATTTACCATGCTAATGGACATCAGAAGAAAGCAGGAGTGGCAATCCTTATATCAGATCAATTAGATTTTAAGCCAAAGACTATAATAAGAGATGAGGAAGGACACTATATCATACTCAAAGGAACTGTCCAACAAGAAGATCTAACAATTTTAAATATCTATGCCCCTAACATGGGAGCAGCCAACTATATAAACCAATTAATAACAAAATCAAAGAAACACATCGACAATAATACAATAATCGTAGGGGACTTTAACACTCCCCTCACTGAAATGGACAGATCATCCAAGCAAAAGATCAACAAGGAAATCAAGGCCTTAAATGACACACTGGACCAGATGGACATCACAGATATATTCAGAACATTTCATCCCAAAGCAACAGAATACACATTCTTCTCTAGTGCACATGGAACATTCTCCAGAATAGATCATATTCTCGGTCCTAAATCAGGTCTCAACCGTTATCAAAAGATTGGAATCATTCCCTGCATATTTTCAGACCACAATGCTCTGAAGCTAGAACTCAATCACAAGAGGAAATTTGGAAAGAACCCAAATACATGGAGACTAAACAGCATCCTTCTAAAGAATGAATGGGTCAACCAGGAAATTAAAGAAGAGTTGAAAAAATTCATGGAAACAAATGATAATGAAAACACAACGGTTCAAAATCTGTGGGACACAACAAAGGCAGTCCTGAGAGGAAAATATATAGCGGTACAAGCCTTTCTCAAGAAACAAGAAAGGTCTCAGGTACACAACCTGACCCTACACCTAAAAGAGCTGGAGAAAGAACAAGAAAGAAACCCTAAACCCAGCAGGAGAAGAGAAATCATAAAGATCAGAGCAGAAATCAATGAAATAGAAACCAAAAAAACAATAGAACAAATCAACGAAACTAGGAGCTGGTTCTTTGAAAGAATTAATAAGATCGATAAACCCCTGGCCAGACTTATCAAAAAAGAAAAGAGAAAGGACCCAAATAAATAAAATCATGAATGAAAGAGGAGAGATCACAACGAACACCAAAGAAATACAGACAATTATAAGAACATACTATGAGCAACTCTACGCCAACAAATTTGACAATCTGGAAGAAATGGATGCATTCCTAGAGACATATAAACTACCACAACTGAACCAGGAAGAAATAGAAAGCCTGAACAGACCCATAACCAGTAAGGAGATTGAAACAGTCATCAAAAATCTCCAAACAAACAAAAGCCCAGGGCCAGATGGCTTCCCGGGGGAATTCTACCAAACATTTAAAGAAGTAATTCCTATTCTCCTGAAACTGTTCCAAAAAATAGAAATGGAAGGAAAACTTCCAAACTCATTTTATGAGGCCAGCATCACCTTGATCCCAAAACCAGACAAGGATCCCATCAAAAAAGAGAACTACAGACCAATATCCTTGATGAACACAGATGCAAAAATTCTCACCAAAATACTAGCCAATAGGATTCAACAGTACTTTAAAAGGATTATTCACCACGACCAAGTGGGATTTATTCCCGGGCTGCAAGGTTGGTTCAACATCCGCAAATCAATCAATGTGATACAACACATTAATAAAAGAAAGAACAAGAACCATATGATACTCTCCATAGATGCTGAAAAAGCATTTGACAAAGTACAGCATCCCTTCCTGATCAAAACTCTTCAAAGTGTAGGGATAGAGGGCACATACCTCAATATTATCAAAGCCATCTATGAAAAACCCACCGCAAATATCATTCTCAATGGAGAAAAACTGAAAGCTTTTCCGCTAAGGTCGGGAACACGGCAGGGATGTCCGTTATCACCACTACTATTCAACATAGTACTAGAAGTCCTAGCCTCAGCAATCAGACAACAAAAGGAAATTAAAGGCATCCAAAT